TATATATATAAAATGCAACACATCATGTTGTCACATTGGACGGAATTTTCAGGATCACAATCAAATCAGAGTCTAAATGGACGCCCTAACTCCCCATGTCAAATCTCATTTTCAAAGAATTTTATTAAACAACCAACCAACTAACAAAACAAATACAAGTTTTGCTTAAACCAATCAAACTTCAAGGTTGAGTAGTAACCTGATGATGTTGAGTCTGCAGGGCTGTGTCTTCCTTCAGTTCTTTTATGCTCAGATCCTCTAGAGGATAAACGTGCCAGTATTCTATCCTCTGCTTGCTTATGTGTTCCAGTAGGACCTATATGTTAGATCTATAAACATTAAACATATTTGGCTTGTTTACCAGGCTGTATTCAATAAACGAAAGAATGGCTGAACCGAACGAACCAAATTGACTTTCTGGAAGATTTTTTCTGACTGGTGAAAATAAAAAAATATTTTTGTGAAATATAAAATCCACCAATAAAAACAGGAAAATCTTCGATTTTTTTTGGGTTTAAGATGAACATCGCTATAAACAAGGTGGCTTTAAAAAACAACATTCAAAAGACTTGACTTTTTATTGGAAAAGGGGGTACATAAAAATAAAATACTTGTTAATCATTCCAACACTGGTTCCCTATAAAATACAGAGCAACCTACAAATAACATGGTCCTTAAAGAAAATGCTTTAACCTATCAACTATCCTTTCCTTGACATCGTGCTCGTCAACTATCCTTTCCTTGAAAGTTGAAATCGTGCTCGTCAACTATCCTTTCCTTGACATCGTGCTCGTCAACTATCCTTTCCTTGACATCGTGCTCGTCAACTATCCTTTCCTGGACATCGTGCCCGTCAACTATCCTTTCTTTGACATCGTGCTTGTCAACCATCCTTTCCTTGACATCGTGCTCGTCAACTATCCTTTCCTTGACATCGTGCTCGTCAACTATCCTTTCCTTGACATCGTGCTCGTCAACTATCCTTTCTTTGACATCGTGCTTGTCAACCATCCTTTCCTTGACATCGTCAACTATCCTTTCCTTGACATCGTGCTCGTCAACTATCCTTTCCTTGACATCGTGCTCGTCAACTATCCTTTCCTTGACATCGTGCTCGTCAACTATCCTTTCCTTGATATCGTGCTCGTCAACTATCCTTTCCTTGACATCGTGCTCGAGCCCCCATTAAAACAAAAAATAGAGATCACAATAATTTCGTATTTTTTAACTCTAACTAAGGGAGATTGGCCCTAACTAGGGTTAGGGCCAATCTCCCCCCTCCTCTTTATATGCCCTGTTCCTGGTTACAACCCTCCTTTAGTTTAAAATGCAGAGAATACTCTTTGACCTGTTCTAGTAATGCATATTGCTTGCTGTTTTTGCAGGTTGTTTGCCCCAATCATATAACTTCATTCATATGTTTATTCAACTACAAAGGATGAGATATTACAAATAAGCAATCCCAATTAACTATGCCGTTTGGACCCGCCTAACCAGGGTTGGTTGTTTTGAGGGGTATTAACGATACTGAATATAATTGGTTTACTATATACTATAGGATACGTATTACGTAATTATACAAATATATTATTAGAATTTAAATATTTATCTAATTGTCATTGTTCTCACCTTTCGGAAAAATATGAGTCCATCTCCTTCTATTAGAAGTCAACTTGACGGTCACATGGCTCGCGTCAAATGGGTTAATCAAAGCTCGACCTAGAATAGAATTATTCGATTAGAAAATCATCTTGATAATAAAAAATCATTTCAAACCATAAAATACCAACACCAGTATAAATTATACATTTCAAACGTTTTTATATCCTTACCTGCTGGATGATACATCCTCTGTGTGTATGTACTAACTGAGTTTGGGTATAGATAATCATCATCATAGCTCCCTAATCAAATAGATTATCATCATCATAGCTCCCTAGACAAATAGAAAATCATCAGCATAGCTCCCTAGACAAATAGATTTTCATCATCTTAGCTCCCTAGACAAATAGATAATCATCATCACAGCTCCCTAGACAAATAAATAATCATCATCATAGCTCCCTAGACAAATAGATTATCATCATCATAGCTCCCTAGAAAAATAGATAATCATCAGCATAGCTCCCTAGACAAATAGATTTTCATCATCATAGCTCCCTAGACAAATAGATTATCATCATCATAGCTCCCTAGACAAATAGATAATCATCAGCATAGCTCCCTAGACAAATAGATTTTCATCATCATAGCTCCCTAGACAAATAGATAATCATCATCACAGCTCCATAGACAAAATAGATAATAATCATCATAACTCTAGACAAATAGATGATCATCATCATAGCTCCCCAGACAAATAGATAATCATCATCATAGCTCCCTAGACAAATAGATTATCATCAGCATACCTCTAGACAAATGGATTATCATCAGCATACCTCTAGACAAATAGATAATCATCATCATAGCTCCCTAGACAAGAAGATTGTCATCAGCATAACTTTAGACAAATAGATATTCATCATAGCTTCCTAGACAAATAGGTTATCATCATCATAGCTCCCTAGACAAATAGATTATCATCATCATAACTTCCTAGACAAATAGATAATCATCATCATGGCTCTATAGACAAATAGATAATCATCATTATAGCTCCATAGACAATTCGATAATAATCATAGACAAATAGATAATCATCATCATCATTGCTCCCTAGACAAATAGATAATCATCATCCTTCAAATACAAATTGATAATCATCATCATAGCTCCTTAGACAAATAGATAATCATCATCATAACTATACATAACATTATCTATTTGTCCATGGTGTTATAATGATGATTACCTATTTATCTATGGCTCCATGATGATGATTATCTATTTTTCTATGGAGCCATGATGATGATTATCTATTTGTCTAGGAAGTTATGATGATGATTATTTATACTTGTCTAGGGAGCTATGCTGATGATTATCTACTTGTCTAGTGAGCTATGATGCTGATTATCTACTTGTCTAGTGAGCTATGATGCTGATTATCTACTTGTCTAGTGACAGAAATTGTTTTCAGCGGAGAAAATGCACAATTGTGATTTAATACTAATGGTGTAATTATTCCGATGGAGTAATTAGTGTCCTGAGTGTTAATTATTATCCCTCCGGCAGAGTAATTAGTTTTAAATCACAATTGTACACGCTGAAAACAATTTCCCTCCGTTGGCCTCCGCTACAGCGGAGAGTACACAATATGCTGCTGCAAACTTTAATCTCTCAATAAAAGCTAACTTGTCTATCATGCAATTATTTATCTCAGATTCTTGTACAGTCTCTTAAATAGGACTTTATCTCAGATTCTTGTACAGTCTCTTAAATAGGACTTTATCTCAGATTATTGTAGAGTCTCTTAAAAAATAGGACTTTATCACAGATTCTTGTACAGTCTCTTAAATAGGACTTTATCTCAGATTATTGTACAGTCTCTTAAATAGGACTTTATCTCAAATTCTTGTACAGTCTCTCAAATAGGACTTTATCTCAGATTATTGTACAGTCTCTTAAATAGGACTTTATCTCAGATTATTGTACAGTCTCTTAAATAGGACTATATCTCAGATTATTGTAGTCTCTTAAAAGTCTAAGCACTTTAAACGTGTTTAAATGGCCGCAAAACGATGCCCGTCTGTTCTCAATAGTCGATCATCAATAGAACATGATGATCTATCTATATAATAAAACAAGACATTCGTATATATATGTATATATATGTGTTGCGAATAGCCGGCCAAACAGCTGGACCGATTGGGCTGACATTTTTGTGGACACTCTTGGGTGGCCGGGGGGTGTTATAGGCTAAAATAAATTCGAACATTTTTTTTCGAACATTTTTTTCCCACGAACAACGCCGGCCCTTCAGCTAATAATTACATAAAATAGAGAATAACGATCATGTTACAGGGGACAAGACTGCGTAGATCTACAAGAGAGGAACTGAATATTGATGTATGTTTAGCTAAAAAGAAGATAGCCAGAGATCTTTTTAAAATTTTGTTAAAAAAATTTTATTTCAAAATAAAAGATGAAAAAAACTATCATGAATAAAATGTTAAACAAAACTTTAAGAAGTTTTTACCTTTCCTGACTCCTTTAAACCCGCTGGTATAGATATTGATGGAGTTATAGATAAACTGTTCTGTCGACTAGAATCCTTCTTCATTAAATAGAAACTATCATCATAGCTTCCCTGAAATACAAGACAGGCGTGAGATTTAAGGTGCCTGTAATAAGGCATACAGAAATAAACGATAATCAATCAATCAATCAATCACAAGACAGGAGTAATCAAGGGAGAAACACCGGGAACTACATTTTCTTTGATTATTAATCTGTAAGGAATATAACCGCAAAATAAAAGCTGCTCAGACTGATTTTATTTATATTCCTCTCGAAAGAAAAAGTAAACAATGGGCTCTGGTCTGTCTAGTTTCTATCCTGGGGAAGGTAAAAAGCTAAAATAAGGATGAAACTATTTCATCGAAAGTTTCAAATCCTTTTTGCACAATCAAAATGTTATACAGTAACAAATTAGAAGCAACATTAATACAATTTTTTTTTTAAATCAAACACATTTAGTATTTAACGGTCTTTGATAAATTTGCACCCTGATCTCTAATCGTTCTCCTTAAATCTATTTAATTGAAATATTTTGTTATTATTACTAAAAATCAGGTGGAAAAAATAATCAAAACAGCCAAGAGCTATTTTCCACCTAATTGCTTTATACTTGTACTGTTAATATAATCATCAATTTTGTGATTGTAAACTCTATCTGTATACAGATACATTTATTTTAACAATAAACTTTATCTTATCTTATCTTATCTTAACAATAAAGATGCTTTAAAACGGATATTTTGCTTTCATCAGTGATTTCTTTTACAAAAAAAGCAAAATCTAAATGATTTTGAAAATCATAAAATAAGTTCTCAAATCGTCTTTTGAAATGTATCAAATGTGCAAGGTGGATTTGAGCATTTGTATCAAAAAAGTGCCCCGTAGCTTCACCCTTAGTTGAATGAGTAACTAAGTTTTATATCGTATTTTTGCTTTTCATAAACCATCTGAAATTAAATATTGTCGTCATTAAATACAAAAAGATAAGAAGGTGAGTTTTTATCCATATTTCTATTTATCTTGGAGGAGGTTTAAAATCTGAATTTTAAATAAATTCCATGAACAGAGACATGAGTAGCTCCCAAGCTATGATTGTTACCTGTCTAGAGGATTTTCGATGAGATTCTATTTTAAAATGATCTTTCTTCATTTCAGAACTTCCTTTTCTCATATTCCTTCGAACCTGCTTCTTCAATCGGGTTAAACTTCCTAGAAGCAAACTTTTTAAAAAATCTGACGTAATTTTAAATAAAAATATGTCGCCTGAGGTTCCCTTTTCTCTCTACTAAAAATATAATGTACAAGGTAACCCACAAAGAACGAGACTTTAAAGGCGACTGTACCGTCTAATTCCTTATATTTCGGATTTTCTTACACTGTAAACTGTTTTGTTTTCATTGCCATTTCAATAAATAGGCAGCTATTAAAAGACAATATTCAAGGCATAACAATCAATTTAACCTTGCAATCGTCATATTTTATGAGTTTCAAGTCGTCAAGTTACAGTCTTATTCTTTGAAGGTAAACCTGACTGACCTGTGTCCGAATTTAATGAATTTGAGCCGCGTCTTAAATCCAACAAAAACCGGTTTCAATTGAGCGCCGGCTTAAATCTTGAAGCAATGAATACGATTTTAAGTGGAACCAACCATATTTGAGCCGCAGCTTAAATTTAAGCCGCAGCTCAAATTCTTTAAATTTTACCTCAGCTGACACAAATTAAATGAAAATAAAATAGCACTTGTTTGACCTACCTGATGTAAAGGGTTTGTTGCTAGGCAAGTTGAAGACTTGAGCATCATATTCATCATACTCAAATGGAGATTGGGGAGCTGCTGAGCTAACTAAAGGATTCTATCTTTAAAAATGGTTTCCAGATTTCTGCTTGCGTAAAAAAGGAAAAACAGTGTTCAATGAGCAATGTGCATGTCATTAATTTTTTTCAGAAAGATACTAAACGATAATAAAGTTCTTGGCAATTAAACTTTAAAAAATATTGAGGCCCACTAAAGAATAATATACTTTTACCCATACTAAATTATTCATATTTGGGTGAAGTAAGGTCTGCTCTGGCCTGAAAACACCTTAAATACTCTAAATACACTGTTAAGTGCTTTGTGACCAGGGAAAGAACAGTTCAATAATCTTGACAAAATAGGTCCCAACTTAGGGACAAAGATTATTTCAGCTTACACTTTTCCAGTAAATAACAAAGACGGTTCTTAGGTTTCTTCACAAAACATTGAGCTAGATTTCACGGCAGAACAAGCTCTTGTGATTTTATTCTGAGCTATTTAACTTTAGTCAGAGATTTCTATCCACTTTTTAAAAAAATAAACATACATGGCCCCTCCCCTACAAACTCAAAACTCGGATTTTCGTATCTCTGTCGGTCAACCTATTCTACTAATCCCTTTACCCCTTAATTCAATGAACATTTCTTTCAGTTTTGACAATACCACCATTCTTTAAGGTTGACCATAATTTTTACACTTTTCATTTTTATCATTCCACTTCAAAAACCCCCCTCACCTAATTTGCTTACTTTTTTATAAATTTCCAGAAAGTATTTGTTACATTATCTTTATTTTTAATTTGTAATAATTTTGGTCATTTTCAATGGACTGATGAAGATATGAAATATATATGGAAATTAATTTCCAAACCCGAGTTTTTCTACCTGTGAGAGTGACACCTTTTTTGCCAGTTTGGACAATTTAAATATCCAATTTCTGTTGTGGAATTTTAATCTGCACTATTAATCAAACTGGGTCTTTAACTTAAATGTATTTTCTTTTAGATAATTATGTCGGAGAGAGTTTTTCTACATTCTTTAAATTGCAGCAGGGAGATTTTTATATTATTTTCAGGAAATTATCTATAATTTTAAGGTACATTTCCTACAGAGTACAGATGCTGGAAAGTATCAATATCTTTAAAGTATATTTCTTACAGATGCTGGAAAGTATCCATATTGTTAAAGTATATTTCCTACAGATGCTGGAGAGTATCAATATTTTTAAAGTATATTTCCTACAGATGCTGGAAAGTATCCATATTGTTAAAGTATATTTCCTACAGATGCTGGAAAGTATCAATATTGTTAAAGTATATTTCCTACGATGCTGGAAAGTATCCATATCTTTAAAGTATATCTATTACAGATGCTGGAAAGTATCCATATTGTTAAAGTATATTTCCTACAGATGCTGGAAAGTAGCAAGATTTCTCAACTTCCATTACTGCTTGACTCTTCAAGGGCGGCAACTTGATACGAGGAATAAAGGTTGAGTACCCTGAAATAAAAAGTTTGGATTTGTAAATGCATCTAACTCATATTTTTTAAACAAGAATAATACTACAATTGGTTATCACAGTTTCTGCTAAGTGAAAATGCATAAAAAAGTCCTCTTGATTGCTTGTTTAATTTTTTTTAAATTTTATTTGAACAGAAAAATCCTTGAAAACTTTTGTTTTTGTCCTAAAGCCTAAAAGCCCAAAATATGTCTTTACATAAAAATTAAGATCAACATCCGCCGATGTTACTCACATAAACGGTTTCGATTCAAGTTGCATCTCTGTGTTACAGTTTTCATGCATTCCGATAAACTTTCTTACAAGGATAATGTAATTAAATTTGAAAATTTATGTCTGAAACATTTGAAGACAAAATAAAAGTTTAATAACTTTACGCTATAGGTCTGACTTACCAATTTTCTTATTTGAGGTATAAAATGATAGATTTATCCACCAAGGCATTGAGAAGTCTTCTTGTCTATCATGGTGTCCACCATGCTGAACAATAAATAATCAATCAATCAATCAAATGGACTGAATTTAACTCAAGTTTTTGATCAGGAGGCCATTACAATGGTTGATCAGAAAATCAGTCTGTAATTTATCAACAAAATTTTAATTGATTAGGAAATTAATCCAGTGCATAGACACTGAAGGAAGATAACTCACCTTGGCGTGCATTTTGAAGAGCGGTACAGCATGTAGAGGTTGTTCTCCTACACACAGAAGATCACTTCCAACACCACTGTCGATCATCCGCTGTTTAGTGATCACGGTTAGATCTCGATCCACCTGGAAACCATCGATCAATCACTTGCATTTGATCTTCATGAATAGATTAATGACCATTTTTTATAGCAATGTTTTTACAAAGCAACATGCAAATGAGAAAAATTGCCTGCTAGAGTAGAACATCCTTAGATAAATACTGAAATCATAAAAATAAGCCAATAAACAAAAATAAATAAAGAAGACTACCAAACGTTATAAATCCACCAAATTGTGATTCTACTAAACGCTAGATGTACTACCACCCAAAATGTCTAAACAAACCCTCTGAAAGCTATGCTCTAGTGCTCTACCTCAAAAATTCCAACACCTGGCGTTATCACCATCGCCTGTTGTCCAGTTCTATCTAAACAAATTTAATTTTAGAAAGAGGGGCGTAGTGTATGTATATTTTCGATAAAATTTATTCCCCCCCATTTTAAAATTCATTTTCCCCTAATACAATCTGGTGTCTTATTCGCTGAATTGGGAAAATAAATAAATTTTTAAGTAACTTCAAGATTGATCATTTAAACTTTTAGCCACTTTATAAGTTTCCTCTCAAAGAGATAACTTTGCATGTAACTGTATTTTGATTTGTTTTCTTCCCAAAGCATCACAAATTAATCAAGAAATTCTTGAAAATAAACAATATTGGTAAAGATACAACAAAACTCATTTTCATCTGACTTCAACAGGAAATTTTCTCTTTTCGGTTACTTTCTAGGTTTCCACCATTTGAAATATAATAAAGAGAATTGAAGAAGGATCAAACCTAAGTTTCTGTTGATAAAATGCTTCTCGAATGTATTTAATGAAATATTTAATGTTTCCAGGAAATTACCCTGAACAGACCACCACAATATAACAGTCAAATTGTAAGTCTGTAAATTCTAAAATTTATTTTCGACTAAGTAAATGTGCCCTAAAGTCATAAATGTTTTAAATCTCGAGATCAGACATTTATCTCAATCTTATTTAGACCTACGGATTAATTTAATACATTTAATACGGATTAATTATATCTGAGGGATCGAGTGGCGATCCTAATATCATCAAGTGTCCACATTGGGTCAAAAAAGATAAGATAAAAATGAAACAAAAACTTTAAATGTCTGATCTTAAGAATTTTTAAAACTAATCTCTTATCAAAGATGATATTATAAAGAAGAACACGTTTTAGAAGCCATCCTAAAGAAACACATAAAATCCGAAAAAGTTTTTCATAGTTTGTTTTAAAGTCAATAATTCATACGAAAAAAAGTAACTGCCTTTACAGGGAATTGAGTTTTTGCCACAAACTCAAATTTTTGACTCTCTATATCTTTGCAACCCTATGGTGAAAACCTTCGAAACTTCGAACAAAGACCATTGATGTAACACAATTCATAGTTTGAAATATCAAAGGTTTACGTCATTGGGTTGCAGAGATATATGAATTAGAAAACCTGAGTTTGTGGCAAAAAATCAATTCCGTTATTATGTGAAAGAGTGGCATGAAGCGCCATGGAAGCCTAGGATTTTATAATTAATTAATAATTCATTGGATGTATGTGAGGTGAGGTGTGCCTGAGCTGCTGTAGAATTGTATGCCCGCGGTATGGATACACCTGGTCTCTGGTGATAGTTCAAGACAAGTTCCTGAACAAAAAATAAAGCATTTAGTTTATCAAAAAAATTATCAGTGATGTTTATTTTTTCAGTAGTACTCAAAATCAATATATTGAATTTTGCAAGGCAAAAAAAAAATTGTTTAACTGAAAGAAATGCAAAATTAAAACATTACCAAACAAGTGTAGTGTGTACCAGAACAACCTTTACGGAACCCAATTGATCCGGAATGAATTGGAAACCCTAAATATGTCCCACCTTGTAGTTTGTGAATGTCTGACGAAGAAGATTGAGGGTGGGAAACCAATCCTCAAACTTCTCGTTTTGAACAACTACTCGGTAAAAATCCTCATAGAATCGGTCTCTATAATCCTAAATACAGAATCATTTAAAAATATTTATTTATCTATTAGTTCAACGTCTTTTCCTTGGGACAAAAGATTCAGCTCCTTTAGATTATTGTAGAAAACATGAATTCATTGGGTAAACATCAAAAGCGTACAGAGTATGGATTTTGCTGATGTTCAACCTGCGAGATGTTTTTGATAAAAAAACAATACAATAAAATTGTAATTTTATTTCTTTTTCAACACTGTTTTTGTTTTGAATTTTCAGAATACATCTCACCCACTTATTACTGAACTGTTTTATTCTAGCTGAACTTTAAACCATTAATTACGTCAACTAGATCTATATACAAATATTAAAATTTCAATTCAACCATAAAATCTATACAAAAGCAGTGTTCAGGATCAGGATCCAAGTTCTCAAGATCGGATTTAAGTCCCAAAAAAGTTGTTAGTTCTGATGTTTCAAATGCTGAGAAGTTATTAAAACATTTATAATCTCAAAATCAAGGTTAAAGATGAGATTATGGAAAAAGAAACGGGTACACCCCCCACTTTCTGATATTTTTGTTTTGTCAAAAAAAAGCATACTTGAAAAAAAGATTTATCTGGATCCCCGTCAAAATGGAATGGATCCAAAGCACTGCAATAACAAAATGGAATGGATTCAAAGAACTGCAATAACAAAATGGAATGGATCCAAAGCACTGCAAAAAAAAAAACCTTTTGAAGACAAGGAGTCATGTAGAGTGGGAACTCACTCAAATCCTTAGCGTCGTAAAATATTCTAGAGAATAGGACAATTGTCACCTCGTGGGCAGCTCCTAGATAGATATGAAATAAGGTGTTGGCTGTTTATTTGTTCTAAATTATCCCCCCCCCTTTATTTGAAAATCACTTTCCCCCAGAAGTAAAGTATAGGTTTAAAAGGTGTTATTCGCTAAATTGTGGAAAATAAATAAAAACTAAGCAACAAATAGTTGGCCTATATCCCTTTTCATTTTTCGCGAACACTCCCTTTAATTGTATTCATATTTATGGGATAAACTACAATAAGATTGGAGAAAAGGACAAAGGAGTGAAAGAGAGAGAGGGGGAGAAAAAGAAAGAAAGAAAAATAGATAAATAGAAAAATAGAGATTGATTGATAGATGGATAGACGGATAGACAGATATAAAGAAGATAGATATTTATATAGACTGATATTTAGATAGACTGCTAGATAGCAAGTTAGATGATTACCATAAGTTGCATCGGTTTAAAGAGTTACAATTTACATATTTAGGAAATTTGTCTTTTATTCCTATGTTTTCTTATCCCCACTATATTGTAAATGGTGATGCTGAAAGCAAGATTAAATTCTAAATTAAATTTCTTTAGTGAAAATAAACTGAATGTCTCAGGAAGTGAATAAAGGTTAATCTTTTTTTAACAAGGTTTAGCATTATTCTGTTTATTCTACGATGATTTAAAGCATTTCTTTATCATCCAGTCAAACATTCTTCCTTTATAGAATCCTATATTACAAAGCTTCAATGCAAGTATGTATGTATTTAAAACTTTTGTGCGTCCTCATTAGTGCAGTTTGAATAGTTCATTTTAAATGTGCGTCCTCCAAATTCGTCCTCAATACTGGATTCTGAATACTGCGCCTTCATGTTCGTCTTCACTAGTGGATTCTGAATACTACGCCTTCATATCCGTCCTTGCAATAATGGATTCTGAATACTGCGCCTTTATGTGCATCCTCAATAGTGGATTCAGAATACTGCGCCTTCATGTAAGTCTTCAATAGTGGATTCAGAATACTGCGCCTTCATGAATGTCTTCACTAGAGGATTCTGACTTCTGCGCCTTCATGTACGTCCTCAATAGTGGATTCTGTATACTGCGCCTTCATGTGCGTCCTCAATAGTGGATTCTGAATACTGCGCCTTCATGTACGTCCTCAATAGTGGATTCTGAATACTGCGCCTTCATGTACGTCCTCAATAGTGAATTCAGAATACTGCGCCTTCATGCACGTCCTCAATAGTGGATTCTGAATACTGCGCCTTCATGGGCGTCCTCAATAGTAGATTCTAAATACTGCGCCTTCATGTACGTCCTCAATAGTGGATTCTGAATACTGCGCCTTCATGTACGTCCTCAATAGTAGATTCTGGAGACTGCGCCATCATGTACGTCTTCACTAGTAGATTCCGAAGAATACTGCGCATTCATATGCGTCTTCAATAAAGGATTCTGAATACTCCACCTTCATGTGTGTCTTCAATAGAGGATTCTGAATACTGCGCTTTCATGTGCGTCTTCAATAGAGGATTCTGAATACTGCGCCTTCATGTGCGTCTTCAATAGAGGATTCTGAATACTGCGCCTTCATGTACGTCCTCAATAGTGGATTCTGGATAGTGCTCCTTCAATGTGCGTCCTAAATGGTGCATCCTGAAAAGTGCTCCTCCAGAAGCAAAGCCCTTAACACATCTGTACCCATAAAAGCTTTGTCTTTTAAGTAAAAATTAGTTATCATTGTTTATGATTTTTAAAACGGATTATTTACAACTCAACTAAGTTGAGTTGTTACTCAACTAAGTTGAGTTTCCCATTTCTGCTGCAGGAAAACCTGTAGGGGAACATGTAGGAATTATCAGAGAAAACAGTTTTAAACTCAGAAAAATTACCATTTCTTCCACATAATTGATCAGATAAGGTTTCAAGGGTACTGTAGTGAATTGAGCATCGTCATCTTTGCATTTAAGGTCAATAAGAATTATGCTAGCAGTCCCTTTAGTTCTGATTTTTTTTTAAAATGATCACCTGTCTTCTTCCATTTGTAAAACATCTCATATAGAAATCCATTTACAGCCTTTAAAAATAAACTGTTAAATTTAAAATACAGTGAATCTCAGATATATGAATACATAGCAAGAGTTTTTTAAAATGTCATATTACATATCCTAGATATATGAATACAAAGCAAGAGTTTTTTTATTATGTCATATTACATATCCCAGATATCAATACATAGCAAGATTTTTTTATAATGTCATATTACATATCCCAGATATATAAGTACATAGCAAGAGTTTTTATAATGTCATATTACATATCCCAGATATATGAATACATAGCAAGAGTTTTTATAATGTCATATTACATATCCCAGATATGTTAATACATAGCAAGAGTTTTTTATAATGTCGTATTACATATTTAAGAGAGTTTTTTTATAATGTCTTATTACATATCTTAGATTTATGAATACATAGCAAGATTTTTTTATAATGTCTTATTACATATCCCAGATATATGAATACATAGCAAGAGTTTTTTATAATGTCGTATTACATATTTAAGATCAAATGCCGCGGAAAAATTAGTTTAATTTTAATATATCAATTGCATTCATATTTCAGGGCTATATTAAAGTCATTTTTCCACGGCATTTGATCTTAAATATGTGATACGACATTATAAAAACTCTTGCTATGTATTCATATATCTGGGATTCACTGTGTAAAAACTAAAAATTAAGTAAAATGTAAAAAATACCAAGGACCAAAACTAACCTTGAACAAAGTGTAAAAACGGGAAAAAGAGGAAAACTATTAATGAGTTTATTTTTCATATTTTAAGAAAGAGAGGATGCGCTAAAGCAGAAATACTTCAATTTCAAATTAAGTGGACGTTCAAGAAAAATTTAATTTGAATTTAAAGAAATATAAAATTAAATTTTTGTTTCCCAGTTACCTTCTCAAAATAAAGATCGCCATTCATGTCAAAATGCCACATCTCACTAGACATCTGGATAAATAAGTAAACCATAGCAGTGGTTGACCGGAACACAACCTATAGATAAACAGTTATCCATAACATAGGTTGACCGGAACACAACCTATAAATAAACAGTTATCCATTACATAGGTTGACCGGAACACAACCTATAAATAAACAGTTATCCATAACAGAGGTTGACCGGAACACAACCTATAAATAAACAGTTATCCATAACAGAGGTTGACCGGAACACAACCTATAAATAAACAATTATCCATAGCAGTGGTTGACCGGAACATAACCAAACGCAAACAGTAACCACAGCAGTGGTTGACCGGAACACAACCTATAAAAAAAAACAGTAACCATAGCTGTGGTTGACCGGAACACAACCTATAAATAAACAGTAACAATAGCAGTGGTTGAACGGAACACAACCTATTTATAAACAGTAACCATAGCAATGGTTGAACGGAACACAACCTATTTATAAACAGTAACCATAGCAATGGTTGAACGGAACACAACCTATAAATAAACAGTAACCATAGCAGTGGTTGACCGGAACAAAATTCCTATAAATAAACAGTAACCATAGCAATGGTTGAACGGAACACAACCTATATATAAACAGTAACCATAGCAGTGGTTGAACGGAACACAACCTATGTATAAACAGTAATCATAGCAGTGGTTGAACGGAACAAGACCTATAAACATTGAACCATAGCAGTGGTTAACCGGAACACTATGTATAGTTAAACAGTAATGATTTTAATGAACTTGAGCTATGTTGCTGTACTTCCTGTACTTCCAACCCATTGGTTCAATTCTTAAATCAGCAATTTAAAGTTAAAAACTCATGAGTGTTTGAATCGGTGATTCAGGATTTGAATCGGCGGATGGTAGTTCAGCGACCTATGTGATTCATAAAATTCTGTCCCTGTACAGATTATTGTAATGGTCGCCAAACCTTGGTATCTTGTGTGACTAGACCGCAGGCCAGCTTCTCTCCTTGGTTCCACATTTCAAGTACAGTACAACGGATAGTATCCTGGACAGTACAGTTAGTCAGGGGCGTACATTTTCTTTCGTAAATAAATGATATTTTGGAGGAAAATAAATACATTTTTGGGCTAAAAAGTATCAAAACGGATAAAAAAAATTGTCGTTGATGAAATTTTTTATCATTTTTTAACCTAAGATCATCAAAAATTACCCCCCCCCCCTCACAGTCAACCCTTAATTCATACATCAATATGATAAAGCTTTTCGCTCATAAATTTTTTTTCTCAAAATTCAAATATTTTTATTCCTCTGGCAACGCCGGGCACTTCAGCTAGTCTCTTATGAAATAATAATCCAGAAAATATATTAGTTTACCTTACAGAAGTTGACTTTCTTGTTGATAAATACAACTGAGTTAATTAAACTGTTCTTTAGTCTCCACATCTCACTTCTACCCATGTACTGGTCCTTTACAATATACATTAAATATTAAACGGTTTTTAAAGATCACGATCACTCTATCTAAAGTACACCGTACAGTCATACGTACACCGTGGGGTACAGTGTTCTCTAAATGGTCACACCCAGCTTGCAAATTAAGGGGGAGGGGCATGCCCCCCCCCTTCGGGTTTTTAAAATTATACTCCACATTCTTATTCAAATTGCCACACCAAACTAAAATTTGCCCCCTTTTTTAGAAGGCCACCAAATATTTATAATTTGCACTTACATTTAATTTATGTTATCACCAAATGTTTTATAAATACACCCAACTTTAATGTTATTACTCCAAAATTAAGAAGTTATGCGCCCAACAAAAAATAACCCTTTGCTTTCCCATACACAAATTTGCTCAAATTGAAAAAGCCCCTAAAACAAAGATTTCCCTCAACTGAAAATTGCCCAAAAAAAATAAAAATTGACACTGAAATATAGATTGAAGATTTTTCCCACACAAATTTGCCCCAAACTGAAAAAATGCCCCCAAATATAAAAATTTACCCCCAAGATATCCTGAATTGGTAAGGTAGTTTTTTCATGGCTGAGTATAATGCACATTTTTCTTGCCCCCCCCCAAAAATGTTAAGGGGGGGGGGCAAAAACAAATTTTCCATCTTGCCCCCCATAACAAAATGTTTGGGGGGCAAAAAAAGTTACGCGCCTGGCCCTACCGGCTAGAATAGGCTAGGAGCCGATCTTTGCGACTAAAACAGGTAAGGATGGCATTTCACTGTGGCTAAGACAGGTTTGGTAAGTGTTTAACAAATTAAAAATGACACTTGCAAACATTTTATTGTGCCCTTAAAATAGTCCGTACAATGTACAAACATGTGTGTTTAACAGACATGCTGGAAAGTGAACTGTAAAGAGTATGAGGTACAAATGAATCTGAATACAGTGCATCTCCAAAAAAGTATTTTTTTTTAAAGCTAGAACTATATAAACAAAAATCAATGCATAATGCCCCTGCAACATTAATAAAACTTAATCTGTAATGGAACAAATTTTTACCATTCCCTCTGGTTCTCACTTGTCTTTGCAAAATGCATCATTTTTTGATTTACATTTTACAGGCACCATTGTGAAATCAGTTCTAAGTTGTCTAAATGTTATAAAATTTGTCAAGCTAAAACATTAAATTTGTTGGAAAAGTACCTTAAAGAGAAGTTCAACCACATCCAAACTTATTTTCTCCTTTTCTATTTTATTGACGACGACATTTTTAAAGTTAAGAAGATGGAAGGTTTCTGCAATAGATTTCTCAACATACACAACCTCCCTACACAGATTCATGCATAAACTAAACTTGTTAAGGGTAACCCACAAATGATGAGATCGTAAGGACGACCTAAAACTCATAAAATATGACGCACCATGACTTCAATAAAGAATAGGTTATTAAATGACATAGAAGGTATTCATGAATATAAGAATTAAGGAAACAGGGAGTATAAATTCCGTCTCTAAAGTCTCATCCTTTGTGGGTGACCCTGTAAATATCAATAAGCGTGGGTAACAAGTAAAATATTCCTACAAAAACTTTAATTTCTTTGAATTGTAGATATTTTAAAGTAATATTTTTGGATAATTTGTTTGAAATGAGTTAATATTTCATTTTGACTGAAAGAAATCCACTGAAAAAGGAATAAATATTCTTTAATATTTTTAAAAACAAAATTTACTTAGCGATGTTTTTCAAATTATTGCCAGGGTAGAGATTTTCTGGTTTAACCTAAACATTCACTTATCAATATATTTCTTTTCTGCATTTACGTTTAATATTATTCCTTCTGAAATACGAATTGAAAATAATGGACATTTTTTAATCATGAATGTAAATTTTAAATACATTAAAAAATCATTAAAAATGAAAAAATCAAAAATTGTGCCTAACCTCATCAAGTTCAAAACTCTTTGATGTTTTTAAATGAATTTTTTTTTTGCAAAAATGAAACACCGCTGTAACAATTTGGGTATAAATTCTGAAACTTTGGGTAAAAAATGTATCAATTTTAGATAAAAATGTGAATTTTTTAGTAAAAATTTGGGTAAAAAATACCTGCAGAAGAAGTCTTGAAAATTTTTCTTCCTCGTGATATATTTCCACAACATCTCCTGATGCGCGGATAAATAAACTTTTAGAAAACTTTTTTTATGTAGAACAAAAACTACAAGAGAATGCTGTTCTGCTGCGAAATAAAAACTATTAGAAAATGTAAGGCTACGAAATAAAAAATATCCGCAAAATAAAAACTATTAGAAAATGTAAAATAAAAATATTATGTTTTTGTGATCAAAAAGAAAGAAGAAAATCAACTATTGAGAAATAATTGTGCTTCTGTGAGAATATGAAGTGTATTTGTTTTATTGTTATTGTTTACTGGCTTAATCTTTAGCAATATCTTTTGTCAGAGAAAGTATTTTTCATTGTGTAATCATGTAATCATGTAATCATTTTATCATTATATATGAGTACAAATTTCAGGTTAAAAAAGTTATCTTTAAGATAAGTTTTATGTTTTAAAATTGAAAATATTAATTTACCTGGCACAATATCAGGAAAATCCTCACTTCTAATATAAAACAAAATTGTACAGTCGTCGTCGTGTATATCAATACAATGAATACGACTTTCTATTTCGATTTTTGTTCGCGCTAAACTTTCAAACAGTTGGATACACACAAACATAGAAACAAAGAGAAGCTGTCAATTAACCAAGGGCGTATACAGGGGGGAGGCTAAAAGGGGCAGTGACTCCACTAGAACTCAGAGCTATCACACTTTTCAAATCTGAAACTGAAAAGTGAAGAATATTAAGATTAGTTTGGTGTTATAAAATATATATTATTCAGTATTGTAAACTAATTTTCCCTTTTAAGTTCACAGAGTACACAGAGTTGAGCTCACAGAATTTTATTTTAAAAATTTTTACTCCTCTATGTAGTATAAATACTAACAGAACATATAATAAAATATAGATTTTTTCAAGGTAATTGGTCTGTATGTATACCTTTAAACTTATGTATTGTATTAATATAAACGCCGACCACCGTAATAATATTAATGAATAATTGTATCAATAATAATAATAATAATAAAAATAATAATTTACTTGATTATGACAAAATTATGATGATATTTAAAACAGACTTGGGAACCTAACTTTGCATGGAAAGTGACTTTCCAAGTACAAGCAACTCAAGTTATAATGTTAAAGCCGAGCTAAAACTTGAGGCTAGTCGGTTCCTGAGCTACGATCAGACAAAAAGAGTTATATATTTATATATATATCAATGTGAATATTTGAAGTTTTGTAAAATTGAACTTTTCTGCAATCAAACAAAGGTGTCGAGGGTACTGTTGTGAATAGGGCATGTCCTTCACAAAGTTAACAGTTCTATTGGAGTGGAGGCCCGAGGGGTTGGGGGTGAAGGGGGTTACAAACCTGATAATAAGATCTTCCGGAAAGAAGGACGGAGTATGAACATTTAATTTAAAATATCTTTTCTCTGATTCTCCATCTTCCTCTGGATCCGCCATTTTTTCTGGAAATTTATTTTTGCGATTAATTTGTATACAAAACATGTCACAGCCAAACGACCTTATTTTCACCTTATTGTTATTAAATCATAAGTTTTAAAATAAAAAAAATTAGGAATTTACAATATTTTTGCAGGCACATGAATCTTCTTCTTTTTCTTCTATCCCACAGTTTTCCTTCTTCTTTATACACTCTTCATCAAGTTTAAAACAAATTGTTTAAAACATATATAGCAACGGAAAGGGGGGGGGGGTCCCAAATGTTATTCTCGAATGAATTCAGCTCAGTCAATTCTAAAAAAATCATTAGATAATCTTAAAAACAGTAAATATAATTTCCAAATTCTAAAAATAAATTTGTTAAATATAATTAAATGCTCTATTAATAAGAAATTTCTCATTAAAACATTCTACTCTATTCGTTAAATAATTATATTGTCATGGTGAGATTGTGATGTGGTCAGAGGGCGTCCCTAAAAGTCTGATTAGTTGATTGTCAGAAAAGGGGAAATATTTTTCAACTTTATCTGTTGTGGACGCACTTAGCGAGGACCAAATTTTGATGACGCACATTTAGGAAACATTCTTGAGCACGCACAACAGTGTGACAGTTTTAAAATTTGATCATATATACATATATCACATCTTAAAAATAGAATTATGTAAATTCATTTTAAAAAAAGAGTGTATAAATCCCTGAATAGCAGAATATGAGGTTCAGGTGTGTGTAGCATATAGTGAACCCAACCTATACTCTGCTCTACACCTAATCAATTAATTAAATATCAAAAATATTCGCTGAACAATCAATCAATTCAATAATAAAAAATATGCACTGAACAATCAATCAAACAAATAATCTAAAATATCCTTTAACAGTTAGTCAGTTAATCAATCAATTAAATAATAAAAAATATCCACTGAACAGATAATCAGTCAATCAAATAATCTAAAATATCCTTTTAACAGTTAGTCAGTTAATCAATCAATTGAATAATCAAAAATATCTCCTTTACACCAATCAATCAATTAAATAATCAAAAATATCCGCTCAACAAATCGATTCAATAATCANCAACGCCTCCTTTAAATTGCTCAAATGTAAAAAAGTTAAAAAGAACAAACAAAAACCCCGCTATTTTGTACCTATATTCCGCCATTCCGTTTCAGTAAGCAGATGATTACGAGGAACTAGAACAACCAAATCGTAATTAGAAATAATAAAGTTAATAAGGCTAAAATTTTAAGGCGCTTCACGCAAATCTTTCTTTTAAAATTTTACGTATATGTTGCGAAAATCGTCGCAAATTTGTTGAGAATAATAATTAAAATAATTTTGAAATTAACATTTTTAATTTGGATTTTATTTTCATCTTTTAAGAAAACCTGACCATATGTCAGGTCCCATAATAAATGTTGTTCAACTTAACAGAAAACAAATACATAATTTAGGATTACAAATTTAGAAAAAAAAACAAATCTTAATTCATTTTGAATATTGAATATTGTATGGTTAAATTATATGGTTCCTTGTTTAGCAATATTGGGGGGAAGAATAACATGTCTGTACTCAAACTCTTCATCACTGTACTGCAGTACAACACAGATATTGAACCATTGGGGTTAGAGAAACCAGAGCTGGGAACTTTACAATAAAATAATCCCGATGATCACGATATCCACTGTGGGGACTTTAAATTTTAGGATCTAAACTAAACTAGTCATATCTTCATTTAGTTATTCGTCCCCTAATCAAAGCTACCTTCCTCAGACTCGATACAATTACCATGCGGGATATAGAATAAAGATTAAATAAAATTGTAGATTAACAGACATATAAGAGTTCCCCGTTCAAAAGTCAGAACTTTCATGTTAAGTAAATCTTGGAATAAGACGTTAATATCCATATTATATACAACCAATGGGTAATTTCTATTCCTTTTCTATGTTGATAATATCCTGAAAGGTGAAATTTCAATTGAGGGATCAACCACCTTTTATCAAATATATGGTTTTTTCCCGGTTTTAAATATTTAACTTGTCGATTTCTGCGAGTTTAATATTTTGCGGCATTTAAGCTGAAACTTAACATTTAACTGAGCTGAGCTAAAAACTTTAGAATGTTGGATATCGAGATTAATGCTTGTTCTCCTCTTGTTATTAATCTCCAGATTAATTAACCGATCGGGATTAAGGATATCCCATTCTAAAGTTTTCAGCTCTGGGAACTTTTAAATGGTGGATATCGGGATTAATGCTTGATCCACTCTTTTTCTCAATCTCGAGATTAACTAATGCATGTTCTCCTCTTGTTACTAATCTCCAGATTGATTAAGTGATCGGGATTAAGGATATCCCATTCTTATGTTTTCAACTTCTCATTCTTTTGTTTTGGACTCTGGATATCAAGATTCACGGTAATCCACCAAAAAGTGCCAAACTTGGAATAAATTTTATATTAAAGACTTAAATTGTGCAAGCTTATAACATTCTGTTAAAGAAAAAAATCAAATCTTAAATTATCAGAATTTATTTGAGTATTTCATTATTTATAATTAAAATTCAATTTATTATTATAGCGAGAAGTTCAATCAATGATTTTAATACTGAAGAAAATTAAAATAAGGACCCGTCTACTAAAAGCTACTTCAGTATAAAATTTAACAGGTTCAATATAATATCCCTTATCACTATAGGTTATTTCATCCACCATTTTTTCTTGGATCTGAAAAGCAAAATCGAATTAAACTTACATGCATCATTTATTTTAAAATAATTTGCTCAACAGTATAGAGAGAATGGAATATACAAGTATTTACGTTAGGTTTGCATTAATAGTAACATATTTCAATCATATAATTGACACGTTAAATGAGAGTTAAGTAGTCCCAATTGCGTGTCAAACACTAAAATTTTGTTTCTGAATCTAGATTGGTAGGTTACAGGATAGGATACTATAAGATATATGCATTAACAAGCATTTATAATTTAAATATAGCACCCTCTAGGATAATTCTAATATAAACTGCTTCAGTGCTTAACCTTCACAGTTCAAATATATATAATATACGAACACATCTAAACAAGTCTTGACATAGCAACAATTTTGAGTAACATGGGTTCAAATCACAATTATCTGGGGCTGACGTTAGAAATGCGCGAAAAATAACAGTGCAGATATCTGGGAAATCAGGGTTCCAGCGTCACAACATGGGATATCCTTCGCATAATTATCCTTCCAACTTTCTTCAAACATATTTCTCATTCGTCATCTGGAAGTGGTTTCAACTCCTTAATCTGTTTGATGAGATACGCTTTCTCGTCGTTAAACTGCTCGTCCTCGGACCTGTCCGTGTGGAACTTGGAGAGGAAATCCACCAACTTGTCCTGGTTTCGGATCAGAATGTCAAGGATTGGCTTTGGTTTGTTTGGGTTTGCGACAAACACCTTGAACACGTGGAACGCCTCGAACTGGATGTTCCTCGCCTTCTCCTTCAACATGTTCATCATGAGCTTAAGGTTGTCTGGGCTGGAGATGTATCTGGTCATCACAGAGAAGTTGTGTCTGTCCAGAAGAAGCTCACCCAACAGCTTCAAGGACTGTCGTCTCGTCACGTAGTTGTCAGAGTTCAATAATTGTTCGTAGGGAGTGAACACCTGAACAAAGAGAGCAGTTAGGGGTTGTATTTTCCTTATGAGGTAGAACAAATTGGGTTTGTAAGTTTATAAAATGGCTTACAATTAGTTAGTTGGAAAAGAGTAAAAATCGATAATATAACAAGGGGAAAAATTATTTATTACAAAATGTTCATGGGTTCGCATTTTCAATAGAATCTTAATGTTTGAGGGGGGTGATAAAATATTATCAATTGGCAAATTTTCTCCCCTTTAATCAAGAAAACACAGCTGAGTTGTGCAAACTTTTCGAAAATAACAAGGACAACAGTCTTCTTATTGGTGATTTTAATTTTCCTGGAATAAACTGGTTTGAATTAACTTTTGATAGGGGGAGTGAACAATTTCTAAACTGTACTATATACAATAATTTTGAACAATTAATTAGTTTTCCAACTCATTTGCGCAGAAATACTCTGGATCTGCTGTTCTCAAAAAACCTGAAAATATATTACACATTGAATCGCTCGGAAACTTATCAACCAGTGATCATTCAATAATTGCTGTTGATTTACTTTTTAACTCTAAATATAATTTCTCTACAGAATTGATAAATAACTGGAAAAATGGAAACATGGAAGGATTGAGAGATTTTCTGGGAACACAGACTGGCGCAGCGAGCTTCAAGACCTTGACACAGAAGATTCTTGGAAATTTATCAAAGACACAATTAACACAGGCATAGAAAGTTTTATTCCTTAAGTCCGTCGACGCAGAAATAACCACCATCAATGGATGACCAAAACAGTATAACAACTAGTGCGTAAAAAACAGAGAGACTACAACTCTTACATGCAAACAAGAACACAGGATTATTTTACCAAGTTTAAGGAGACAGAGAAAAAATGTAGAAAAGCTATTAGGAGTGCGAAGCGCAAATTTAATGGACTTACACAATCGTCATAAAATAATGAAGAATAATCATTGTAAAAATTTTACTTAAGAAAAATAAAAAGAGAAAGATCATGTTTTCCTTACAAATTATTAAAATGTCGATGTCAACGCAGAGAAGATTTTAAAATCCAAGAAAAATCATTAATACAATGACACGGGTCTGGAAACCTAAATTTTCAGGATTTAACTGGTTTGGTTTAAATCATTGAGTGTTGGACAGCTAGTGAGATAAGATCCCGTAAGCTTGGCAATAAAAATCAATAAAACAAGTATTATCAAGTGTTATCAGTATTTATTCAATAATTAAACATAATGATTGTTCTTCAATCAGAGCTAAATAAAACTTCATTTCTATTAAGTTCATATTTATCAATTCTGAAGGAGTATGAAACGGATTAAGATTTTTTAATATTAATTTTTATCCTCATTATATTGTTAGAACTAAAAGGATCCAGCAAGAATAACATTTATTTTAAAAAAATGTCAACAAACCCCCACTTTATTTACTCCATGAGGTATGGAGTAGAGTATAATTCTAATGTTATTTTATTTGCGGGCATTTTTTCTTGGGCCCCTATTCAGTTAAGTGACCCACCCCTTAACGAGTCACATAACCGATTCACAATGGTATCCTTTACACCTTTATCTGAGCAACACTAGGAAATGTTTAGTGTTACATTTGTCCATTTTTTTTCTCTGCATAAATGGCACAAATCCGGAAGTCACTTTTATTGAGAAACCACAAATGAAAATAAAATATTTTCAGATAGAAAATTAAGAACATCTTCTTCAGTTTTGCTCAAACAAGTAATTGAAGGGTTTGTTGTTTAAAGGGAATTAAACCTTTTAAAAAATCCGGATATTCCGATTATTATTAAAATTTCATTAACTACTTAATATAATTTTTATGGATGTTTTTTAATCTGGACATGATCACTCACCTTTACACAACGTGAAGAGTATCTCAGGTGTTGTACAAATATACTCTACAGTAGGGGTCCTGGTACCAATCTGCCGCCTGAGGATATTATTAAATATCTGTGCAGCATCTTTCTTTCCTTCAAAATCTATTTTGTGAAGATTTCTCAGAAGTATAAGGAGCAGACCAGAGTTATACATCTCCTGTGAGTAAAAAGGTGGGAAACGTTGGATTTTTTTTTCGTTTTCATCTTTCCGTTTTGATTTAGATATAATTATATCGATATTGGTATCCACAGCATTGCGTAAAGATTTCTTTTCAAAATTATTAACTATATTTTGTTATCACACAGCTAAAATTGGATCATTAAATTTAAAAAAATAAGTATGGATATTATTTCCAATTTGCTACATAGAAAAGGAACTAGATCATTAAATCCAAGTTAAAACGATGCCCACCCCTACCTGTGAAAGCTGAGCTACAAGAATATCAGACTGCTGTTCACTCTCGGTTCCGAACAGCATAGCTGTCATGCTAACCAGCTGTTTACTAGCTTCTTCTTGGGCCTTCTCCTGTTTCTTCCCGTCCCCTCCTTTCTCCAACACAGTCAAGGACTCCTTCAGTAGTTTCACAACTTCTGTCGGACTTTTTACGGATTTTCCAAACAACGGCATTTTAATCATTTTTAATCAACTTAGCTCATATCTGAAATTATTGTGTGGTGTGTAGCAAGGTAAAAAAGTATAAATATATAGAAAATACTGATGAACAAATACAATTAAAGCATAATTTTATCCTACAAAAGCAATTCAGATCTTTCAAGAACAGAACTGGTTTAAACAGCCTCAACTGGAAGTGGTTTCAACTCCTTAATCTGTTTGATGAGATATGCTTTCTCGTCGTTAAACTGCTCGTCCTCTGACCTGTCCGTGTGGAACTTGGAGAGGAAGTCCACCAACTTGTCCTGGTTTCGGATCAGAATGTCAAGGATTGGCTTTGGTTTGTTTGGGTTTGCGACAAACACCTTGAACACGTGGAACGCCTCGAACTGAATGTTTCGCGACTTTTCCTTCAACATGTTCATCATGAGCTTGAGATTGTCTGGGTTAGAGATGTTTTTGGTCATCACAGAGAAGTTGTGTCTGTCTAATAAAAGTTCTCCCAACAGCTTCAAGGACTGTCGTCTGGTTACGTAATTATCGCTATGCAACAATTTCTCGTATTTCTCAAATACCTTCGCAAAATATAAAAATCAAAATACTAGTAAAAGACATAAAAAAATTATAAGATTATCGATTTGGATTTAATCCACTTTGTTGCCAGAAGCGGAAATGACCCTAGTTTTTTTGTTGTTGCTTTTTTATTAATTCCCCCTCCAACCCCCTCTGAGAAAATGTTTGTTTCCTTTTAAATTCCAAAAATTCATTTCTTTTCAGGAACATTTTTTTCAAGAAAATATACACCCCTAAAAGTTAGTTCAACTAGTTCCGGCGGGTTCGACTAATCATCAATAGTTTAAACTAAATTGTACATTTACTGACTTTAACTGGCACTCAAATGATTTTAAATTGGCATTTCGAATTTTTAACTTTCCAATAGTAATATTAAAAAATCAAAGGAGATGCTGAGTTTAGTGAACCATTTCACCTAGAGAACCAATGGAAATTGAATCCCGAAGGCTTAAAATTTCCAATGGTTTTTATTTTCAGTAAATGACTTTCCTTTCTATGCATTTGTTGCATACCAAAAAAACTTTTTTACAACTAATGACTATTCTCAATTCAATATTATTTAAAGTACATTTTGAAAGTAAAAAAAAAATGGAAAAGGGAAAAAATTCAACTTAAGAGTTTTTTATTTATATTGAACGCTTTCAAAACCTTGAATAATCGAACACTGTCTTTGAAATTTGACATTAATATGAAATATCTAGAATTCTGTCCCGAAGTGTAAACAAAACTTCTAATCAGCAGATTTTACCAAAATATCAATTTCAATCTGCAACAAATGTTTATTTATAATTTAGTTTTAAGGCTGTTCAGTGTACAGTACACACAGAAACGAATAATTTTGTTGTTGTCAAAAAGTTTTTAACTAGTAGCAAGAAGTAACGGATTATCTATACCCTATCCCGATTGAGAGGAGGAGGGGGAGGTGTATTCAATCACCCCCCCCCCCCCCCAGGTTTTTCTCACAGCTTAAAAACACGGCTTGCACTCGAACTCTCTGATTTTTTTTTACTTTTTCAACTAAAAATTTAGAAAAAATTAAAAAATTAATAATTTTTCAAGCATTGGGTAGACCGGGTACAGCCGCGGTATTTCAAACCACTAAAATACTCTGGAAATACCGCACTGGGAAAAAATGGATCCGGCCGGATCCGGATCCAGGTCATTTCTAACAGATTTACTGAATCTTATTAACAAAAAATAATTTTCAAATTTTTTGTTTTATTATTTCGCATATTTTTATCCTAAAACTTGATAACCAATCAGAAATGAGGAAAATTTTACAATCTCTCTTTTTTCAAAAGTTCAGATTATGGTTAAAGGAGTAAAAAAGGTTTTTTTGCAGTTTTTGGTTGATATTTTACCCCTTGGATCCGGATCCGGATCCAAAAAGTAAAAGGAATTTCAATCTTTTATTGCTCAAATAGTGAAGGACAAGACAAAAAAAATATCTTTTAATTTTGTTGCCAAAAAGAATATAAATTTCTTTTTCTTATATCTAAGAAAACGAACCTGTGAGAGTTGAGCAACCAGAATATCAGACTGCTGTTCACTCTCGTTACCAAAGACGACTGTTGTGATGTAATTAAACTGTTTGCTGACATCCTCCTGAATATTTATTATTAATATTCATTTTGTTAAAAATAAATGTGACATTAGACAAAATATCATTTTCAGAAAATTTTTTAAAAATCGACTCTGAGTGTACTTAACCCCATCCACCCCCCTCAATCGGGATAGGGTTAAGGGATTAAACAGGTTTTTGGGGGAGATATTTAATTTTGTCGGAAACAAGAATTTTAGAGAAAAATCCTTAAAACAAATGAAAACCACTTCGAACGACTCCAATTCTATGAAATAGAACCCTCAGACCGCTTTCTCAATCATATTAATCCATTTAATTTTAATGCGGATCCGGATCCTGGATTCGCACTGGAAAAAATGGATCCGGATCCAGGACATTTCTTTAAGATTTACTGAATTTTTTTAACAAAAAATAATTTTCAAATTTTTTGTTTTATTTTTTTTCGCTTATATTTATCCTTAAACTTGATGCATCATTGAGAAATGAGGAAATTTTTATAATCTCTCTTTTATCAAAAGTTCAGTTTTGGGTTTTAGGATTTAAAAAGTTTTTTTTTGGTTGATATTTTACCCCTTGGATCCGGATCCAGGAAGCCAAAATCTTGCGGATCCAACGGATCTGGATCCTAAGCACTCTTGCAATTGAATCTCTCAGAAAATAGGTCTATGGTATTTATGAGTTCTAATGATTTCCTTACTTCAACTCCTTGAATCATCGTTTATTTATTGATTGGTTGCTGCATTTTGTTATTAAATATTAAAACAGAAAGTAAGTGTCCTGTAGAAATAACATGATATTTATTTTGTGGAGAAAAATGGGATTCCTTGCGAGGCTTTCAAAACCTTTCTTGTAATTTTTCCTCGCAATTGTGGTCTACTTTCAAAAAAACTTTTTTTTCGAGAAAAATTAAACGGGAGTGCAGTACAATAGGCTCCGGATTTGGATCCGTTAGATTTGCAACATTTTGGCTTCCTGGTTCCGGATCCGCAAAAATATGCGGATCCACGGGGCCTATCAATCTAAACATGCTGTAGCTAAAATCTTGTGATCATAGCATTTTCTTCAAAGAGTTGGCAGCATTAAAGGCACCTTTTCAGAATTCCAAAATGTGGTCTGCCGTTTTTGTACCTCCAAGATATTGAGAAATTTGTTTAAAATTCAAAATATTAAAAATCAGCAAGGTTGTTTAAATCTTCAGTATCTCCAAAAAAATTTATAATACAAAAAAAGGAGGCTAAATCTTATCAAGTTTTAAAGGCTTACAATGTTTTTCTATACTCCTTTGACATCTATTAAGTTTACGAACACCAACGACAAATTGTAAGTTCCAGGGTCCAATGTCTAACGTACTGCAAAACACCCCAGCGAAAAAATTACATCAAACCTTGACTATGATATATCCATCTATTATATATCCATGATCTAAACCTGCTGAAAAAAAAGTTGCTTTCGAAAGAGAAAATCCAATCTTCTTTTTCTCTTAATGGTTTATTACGTTTCAGCATAAAAAAGAAAACATTTAGAAATTCATTTGTTTAACAGAAAAAAATATGTTTGGAACCTGGATTCGGATCCATTTTAATTTCAGGGCGGATCCAATATTTTGGAATTTGGATCCTGATCTGCATTAAAATGAATTAATTAGTACATTACATATGAAAATGAGAATGGATCCTTAGCACTGGGTCCATGGGCTTAGCCTTAATTGAATTTGGAATTGAATGGTATCAATATTTAAGCGGGATTTTACTGGATTCTCGAATAATTTTTACAGCTTACACTCATTTATACTTTCGGTTTAACCTATATCCTTTAATTTTCGCGAACACTCCCATTAAATGAAAAAAAAAACCTCGATCATATAATAGTAGATCTAGGGAACCCGACATGAAACCCCCAGACTGTCCTCAGGGTGCAGAGCATCAACTCTGATAAGTTATTTATATCTGAGGTTATCTTGAAAGTAAATATGTTCCCCCTGTTTATTAAAATAAAAGCGGTGAATATTACAAATGCATTACGCACAGTAGTTTAGAAAATTTTAAAGTGAATGATCACGAAAGGAAATGTTAGAGAAAGGACAACAGCTGCAAAATTTTAAGAAAAAAACATTTTTGATTTTCAAAAATTAATTGTCAAGTTTTTTTCTCTATTTAATACTTTCCACCCAAAAAAACAAAAAAAAAAAAAAATTCTCGCTCTAGAATATATAAAAGCCTAGAAAATAATAAAAATAATAATATTTAGCATAAATTACGAATTTGTAAAACAAAACAAACATTACGGAGGGTCGTATACTTGTATTTTCAAACACTTCAAAGCTAACTGATAACATATTCAGAAATTGCACGCGGAACAATAAATGAAATTGAAAAATAAATTAGGAATTCGACTAACAACTAACATACAATAAACACACATATATTTTCTACTTTTTAGATTCGATTTTATCCACCCCTGTTTCTTCAACGAACTCGGATCCTAAAAGGATTTTGAGTTTGGTTCAAGTGACCCTCAATGTTAAGACGGCAATGACCGATTTACAACCAGCTTTGTCTGAATCAAGTAATCTTTATAATGAAAATGTATTTTTTCTCGAAAAACAGAAATGTAATTCCACCCTTCTAACAAATATTCAGCGAAAACGATGAAAAAAATGTTTGCTTTCGTTTCGCGCATATAAGTCTGGCTTCATAGACAAATAACAAATGAATTTGAGAAGGAGTGAAAAAATTAGATTACTACCAACAAAAAAGGTCCGTTAATGTCTAGTGCTTGTCGACACCATGTTACAGGGGAAAACTTCGCGAAGAAAACAAAAGATTACGATTTTCCAATCAAAATACATCACAGAAAATATTATATTATATGCATTATAATTTTTAGGTTTTTCTGGAATTTGAGACGGGAGATGGTTGATAAGAATAAAAATAAAATCTAACCCCCGATTTCACAAAAAATTTATTTACTAAATACAGGGGATATTAGTTCCAAAACTAACACTTGGCCCATTTCTAACACTGAATGTTAGAAATGGGCCAAATCTGCAAAGCCATCTTTTTCAAGAGTATATATCTTTAGATCCAAGACGAGTAGAACAAAATTACACCATATATTGATAAAAATAGCTAAAACTATACATTGAAACAATAAATTTCAATTTTAATAATAATTTCTAACACTCAGTGTTAGTTTTGGAACTGATGTCCCCTGAAATAGAGGAATATCAATTGCACTATTGCATTTTAATGAGATAATCAAACAGATTTCTCTTAGACGAACTCTTCCTAAATCAGAGTTCTTAGAAATCTTTGAATATTTCTCTATTTTGATAAATTAAAATATCAGTTTCCGCAAACTGATCATTCATATACATCTTAATAATTGCAATAATCTTAAAAATATTTGAAATGAACAAAAAAATCAATATAATCAACACATCCAAAATCATTATGACCTAAATTCAAAAATATTAGATATTTAAAAATAAGCAATTTGTCAAATTTTTTTTTTAAATTCAATACCTGGGCTTTCTCCTGCTTCTTGCCGTCCCCTCCCTTCTCAAGAACCAGCAGTCCATCCTGCAACAAGAGATGATTTAGATCAGGTATCAGTCTACGCGTAATTCTATTCGACATTATTATTATCATTTTATCAATTCTCAGGATCCATTTCCTTTTTTTGTTACCCCGGATCCCGCTCAATCATATTTGATTTTAGGAATTACTTAATTCCTATTCAAATACATTTATTCGTCATGAGAATATATTTGTTTGGCCTAATAAGTTTTTCTCGATAGATCGGGAGGGGAAATGACAAGCAAAAAGTATCAAAAAAGGGGGCAGTTAATGCCAATTTTCTCCCAAATCTTTGAAAATAATTTCTACATTTTAATAAAATTTTATTTTACTAAGCTTTTATGGCGCTTTGCGTTCCTATTGTTGCAACAATTTTTGCTTTGCCTGCGTGGCTTTTTTATTAAAAATCGTAAAACTCAAAATTTCTTAAAACATCGAAAAATTTCTAAAACTTAAAAATCTTCAATTTTTCAATTTCGAGAATACAAGAGTATAGACAAATAGTACCGAATAAAAATATATAACAAAACTTAAAATGAAAAACTGGCTTTCCTCTTTTAGAATAAGTTGGTATTGTGGCCCAGTCCTAGTATCTGCGTTGTGCCCCCCCCCTCTAGGCGCCTTCGGGATGGGGTCCAAAACCATTCCTTAGAACTTAGAAAATACCGATATAGCCAGGATAGGAATAAAGGAATGGTTTAGATGTCTTCCAGATTATGGTAATTTCCTTTAGATCGCTTTATTACTCTATAGAACAGACCCGCGATATGTTCCTAAACTTATCATGATTAACCCCATAATACAAGTTTATAAAACCCAGACCCCGTAACCCGAGAATGTCACTTTCCTTGAGAATCCTGGCAACTTCAGCAGGAGATTTCGTCCCCTTACCAAACAGCGGCATTTTCATCATCTGGAACTACAGGAGGATGGACGAGATCCCTTCAACTAGTACATCACGATCTGAAACATTTTGAAGATATTTAACAATTAATTAGAATTTTAGAAACAAGGCCACGTTGGCAAAATAAAAATTAGGGTTTCAAATATGTGTAAGACAATTACTGGGCGGAGCGCTGCGGCTAGGACAGGCTAGGGGGCCGAGCGCTGCGACTAGAACAGGCTAGGGGGCCGAGCGCCGCGGATAGGACAGGCTAGGGGGCCGAGCGCCGCGACTAGAACAGGCTAGGGGGCCGAGCGCCGCGGCTAGGACAGGCCCCCGCCGGGGGCGTTTTTTTCACACGGTCAAAACATTCATACAAGATCCAAATACAAAATTGATAGGAGGGGGGCAGTGGGGGTCCAAAAAACGTATACTAGGAAATTACCGAAAAATTGACAGTTCTCCATTACTAATTGTATTTTCACTTTAAATTCCAAGGAAGATAATAAGAAAATAACGAATTGCCATGATTATTTATCACAAAAGGTTATTACTAGCTCACACATCAATGTTCATTTTTAATTTGTTATTTACAAAATCACAATCTAGATTTATAAACTGGCTGTGAAAAGATAAATTCTGGCACAAAACAAACTAATCGGGCTGCTGTTGCGGCCATACTAAATACATACTAAACTAATCCAGAAATTCTTAAACCGGTTTTGGATGAAAACGGAAAATATAAATGTCGTCTTTTAAAAATTTGTTCTAAGGAAAAGGTGGATCCGCATTTTAAGAATTACATGTTGTTTAAACTATTGATCCATTGAACTATTGATCGTTTGAACTATTGGATCATTCTAACCAATCCCAAGTAACAAAAGTGAGGAATTTCCCCAGATTCTCCAACCATAGTGACTTTCTTTAAGGAATTTCCGAGGAATTTCTCAAGAATCAGTTCCTGTAACTGATTCCTTGGAAATTCTCTTGAAATTCGACCTAGAATTGGTCCCCAAGATGAGAGATTTTTGTGGGATCACAGTTTTGAGACTCAGTTTCGAGAAATTCCTGAGAAATTCTCCGGAATTTTTCCCCACAAAATTCCTCAGAATTTCTCCAGAAATATTCTCTGGAAATTCCTGAGAAATTCTTAGGACTTTGTCACCATGTTTACGGATTTTTAGGGGAATTTATTAAGAGAATTAGTTTCGAGAAATTCCTGGGAATTTTTTCGGAATTTCACCCCAAGAAATACCTGAGAAATTCTCCATGACTACTTCTCCGGAAATTCCTGAGAAAGTCTTAGGACTTGGTCACCATATTTAGGGATTTTAAGGGGAAATTAATAAAAGAAATAGTTTCATGAAATTCCTGGGAATTTCTCCGGAATTTCACACCAAGAAATTCCTGAGAAATTCTCCGGAATTCTTCTCCGGAAATTCCTGAGAAATTCTTAAAACATGGTCACCAAGTTTACGGATTTTTCGGGAATTAGATAAGAGAATAAGTTTCGAGAAATTTCTGAGAATTTCTCAGGAATTTTTCTCAAGAAATTCCTAAGAATTTCTCATGAATATTTCTCCGGAAATTCCTGAGAAATTCTCAGGACTTCCTCACAGAATTTTCAAGTTCCGTTTTTCACCAACAGGTGTCTCTGAGGTTTTCTTCTTTTATGCACTGCTCAAACTAAATCTTTTTTTCTTCGCATTTTAATTTATTAAAAATTGATAATTTACTTCAGAACCATCTTTTGAAAAAATATTTAAAAATTTTAAAACATTTTTTAAAATTTTTTCTTGACAATTCACTTGTCTTAATAAACAATTACATGACAACTTCAATAAGATCAAAAACAACTATAACATTCTGAGTTAAGAAGATATACTTCTGAAAATATTGGAGTGGAGGGGCAATATAGTTGTTAAGTAATTCACTACTTTTGTTAGTGAATATTTCAAGATATTCCTGAGGAACTCTCGAGAAAATCTTGGGAATAGTTCCAGGGAAATTCCCAGGAATTGGTTCTGAAGACCTTTTCGCTACAAATTTTCTCTGGTTTTTCTGAAGAATTGGTAACAAGAAATTCCCTAGAATTGGTTACAAGAAATTCCTTGGATAGAGTTACGAGAATTTCCTCGGAATGGGTTACAAGAAATTCCTCGGAATGGGTTACAAGAAATTCCTCGGACCTGGTTCCTCGGAATGGGTTACGAAAAATTCCTGGGAATAGCTGTCGACATTTTCACCGGATTTTCCTGTGAAAGATTCCTGGGAATTTCCGCGGATTCCCAGGAAAGATTCTTGAGAATTTCCGCGGATTTTCCGCAAAATTGTTACTTGGGATGATGATGACGTCATTTCCTGTAGTTCAAACAACACAGGTTCGAATTTTCAAAGTTCTCGGATCTGCACCCAAATTTAATACAAGATGCCATGGGGAATTTGGCATTATGTACTCACTTGAACTCCTTGAACTGTTAAATGAAAAAATCATCACAAAATAGTTTACATGATCAAAAAATATTTCCCATTTATGGACATAAAAATAATTCAAATGACCAAAAAATAGTTAAAATGAAGCATTTAATAGTTCAAATGAGAAAAAAAGTAAAGTTCAAATGATCAAAAACATACAATTCATATATGAGCAAAAAAATCATATTCAAATAAATCAAAAAGATAGTTCAAATGAGCAATTATTTTTTAGCGATCATTTAAACCATAAATTTTTGTTCATTTGATTTTTTACAAGCTCATTTAAACTAGTGTTTTTTTTCTTTATTTGAATTATTATTTGGCTCATTTGAACTATTATTGTCTCATGAAATATTTTTATCGGATCGGTCCATATGTAGCATGCGATTTTTGTACCCTCCCAACCCCCCCACTCCTATTAATTTTGTACATGCCCTAAATTCAAACTTTTTTCAACAATTTAAAAAAATATTTATTTTGTATTATTTACGTGGATCCGCATATTGTTGCGGATTAGGATCCGGATCCTGACTCCATGAGTATTGCTTTAAAGTAAAATAGAAATATCTGATTTTAGGACGATAAATAAGTGCGAAAAAAGTCTCTCTATAACTGAAACGTGTCTCATCCCATCCATTCGTTATAACCTTATTCAGAGGTCGGATTTATTTAATAGAGAAAAGTATAATATAAATTATTATAACTTGTGCGCGAATCTTAATTGGACTATATATTTATTCCAACTGATGATTGGGTTAGACCCATGAAACATTTTTTCTTGGAAAAAGTATATATTTAAACATCTGAAATGTATATTTAAACTGAAAAAAAAACATGAAAATATATATAGTCTGAGGCGGGAATGCACACTTTACTTCTACTCTACTATCCGTACCAAGTTCAACATACTTTTCTACTTTTTAGATTCGATTTTATCCACCCCTGTTTCTTCAACGAACTCGGATCCTAAAAGGATTTTGAGTTTGGTTCAAGTGACCCTCAATGTTAAGACGGCAATGACCGATTTACAACCAGCTTTGTCTGAATCAAGTAATGTTTATAATTTTGATTATTATAGTTTCGCTACAAAAGCGATTATAGCGCATTTCTTCTGCAGGAAAACATACCGAAATTATCAGAACTAAACACTTTTAAACTTTTGACCAGTTAAAGGTTTCTAGGGTACCGTTGTGAATCGGGCAGTGCCATCCTAGCATTGAAATTACGTTTAAACTCCCTCTAACATAACTAAACAGAAAAAAACTGAATGTTATTTTTATATTTGAAAGAAAAATAAGATGTTGGAAGGTAATAGTAAGGAATAAAGGTTTTGCCACAAACTCTGATTTTTGTATCCCTATATCTTGGTAACCCAATGTTGTAAACCTCTTAACTATAACTTTGATAGATCAAGTAATCTAAGTTAGAAATATCAACGGTTTAGACCATGTTGCAAAGATATATGGATTACAAAATTTAATTCCTTTATCATTCACAAATGCGTATTGCGTAATCGTAATATATAACCTGCTCATAATCTGTAAAGTCGTCTTGGAATTCTCATTTCTATTTTTCTTTATTTAACAGATTCTCTTTAGAAAATTAATCAAAGTTTTCATTATTGCAACCAAACTAATTACTTAGTGTGAGAAAATATTAAACTCAACTTGGGAAATTAATATCCTAATAATAATAAAGGAAGGAAGATAAATAATCACAATTTTTTACGAATAGTTAAATTATTTATACAAATTATACTTTTTAAATTATTCCATGTATTTATTCTTTATCAAACATATTTCAAATGCATTAAAACTTTTGAAAAATAAATTGTATAACTGATTTATACACATAACGCAACAATTAGGACTGAGCTCGTTAAAATTAATTTCTATTATAAACTTAATAGAAACTCATGTATAAAGAACTCAATAAAGGCAACTTTACAAAGAGAAACTCAATATAACAAGCCAGATGGAATCGATTAAAGCACTAATTTTGCACGGACATTTATTTTACATTATTATTAAAATACAAACTGAGGATCAACCGAAGTTAATCCTGGAATCATAGATGGAGCTGATTCTCCTCTCGGAGCTACTGGAGCTGTGATCGACCGCTCTCTTCTGATCCTTCATCAAGACTGACCCTTTTCTCGGGGACAAAATGGACGTTCAGATTGCTTTCTCTTCCGACGAAAGCACCGTTATCCGTGTTCCCCCGATAAGGATTCCCAGGATTTGAACCTTGCTACCCTGGAAATTTCCTCTGGCCGTTGATACCAGCTCCAGTAGTAACGGGTTAAATACAATCAATATTATTTGTTTGTCCAGTTCTCAAACTTGGGTTGAATGAACTAGGCTATGGTTCTACATCCTTGGTGGGTTTACACTATTCATTGCAAGTTAGCATAAAAAAGGAATTTTCATGTTACCGTTCGATTTTTAACCATTTTTAACCATCATAATGGATTGAGTAGAAACTAGAAGGGTTGAAAAATGCTTTTTCAAATGAAAGTTGCTCATTAAAGGCCAGACTAATGCATGAATAATAACGAAAATATCCTATTTTGAAATAAGCGTTCTTTGATTTTAGATGAATCATT